GTGTGTGTGTGTGTGTGTGTGTGTGTGTGTGTGTGTGTGTGTTCCTTGCCCCACAGAAAGGCCGGGGCTCCTTGCTGGCTGTTCCAATAAAGCAGTCTCAGCTAGTTTTGAGATGGAATCTGCTTCTCTGCCACATTTTCCTTACACTCAGACTTTGGATTCTCAGATTAGGCAGGCTTGATCAGTAATTCACAAAGCAGGAGAGTCAGGAGTGCTGAAGAATCCCAGCAGCTTACTGATGGTCTGAGAGTGTGCAGAAACCCCAGGCTGAGATTAAGGGGAAATGTTGCCTGGGAGGAAATAATAAGTGAAGTACGTCAGCAGGAGCACAGTGTTTATTGCCAGCTGACCAGTTTCATCATAAGCAACTTCCTTCAATCCTAACTTGGCTAACTACAAAATAAAACGTTGGAAATTGAGAATAATTGGTTTGATTTTGTTTTCCCTTAAGGGATAAAATGTAATTTGGAATCTAGATAGCTTTTGTCTTGAAGGAAAAGTAATGTGTGTGCCTATAATATTCAGGGAAGTGGTGAATGCAGTGGCCAGCTATTATAGTCATGTTTCGTGTGTGTGTGTGTGTGTGTGTGTGTGTGTGTGTGTGTGTGTGTGTGTGTGTGCATAAGCATGTGCTGTGGCCCATATATAGAGGTCAGAGACAGCTTGAGAGAGCGGTTTCTCTTCTTCTACCATGTGGGTCTCCAGAATTGAACTCAGGTCACTGGGCTTGACAACCAGTGCTCTTACCTGCTGAGCCATCTCAATGGCCACCAACCCCTGTACTTGGTAAAGACCAAATAGTAAATGTTTTCAGCTTGGGAAATTGAAAACATATGTTCAATAGCAAGCACACACCTCAACCGATTTGAAAGCCACAACTAATGACATAGCAGTGAGTCCCGTGACTGTGCTTTGGTGAAACTATTCACACCAGTGGTGGGTCTGTCACATAACCAGGTCTGGCTCTGGCTATGGTTTGCTGAACCAGACTACTGTGTGGGCAGAGGCTTGAGCACAACACAAACTCTCTCTGGAGAGCAGAAATCTCCGAGGTGAGAGAATAGCAAGCATGGGAACAATCTAGTGAGAAGATCACTATGACAACACAACCAGGAAAGAATCAGCAGCTCGGGAGCTTTGCTCATCTAGCTCTGGGACTTTATTCTCCAAGTAGATGGGAAAATCCAAAGGAGCTGATGAGGGTCCTAGGACCACTGGAGAGGAAGCTCTGTGTTTTTAAACCAGGAGAAAATGTTGACTTGGTTTTTAAGGATAAGGTAAAGTGTCACTTGTAGACCCATTGACTAGTCAGCCAGAGGACTTTTAAGCAGTGACCTGAGAAAGAATTTCTAGGCTTGATTAAAGCCTACTATTATTAATTTCATGCAACTAGATATGGTGACACAGGATTTAATCCCATCACTCAGAAAGCAGGGGCAATTGGATATGTTTGTCTGAGACCAGTCTGATCTACATATGGAGGGGGAGACCAGCCATACTATACACTGTGATCCTGTATCAACAATAAATAAATAAGAAAAGAAATAAAAAATAAATAGCAAATTATAGGGCTGAGCAAGTACAAAATAATCATATGAATTTAAAAAGAATACAGATAGGTTACCATCGGCTTCTATTGTCAGTGGAAGCCGGAATTAGGTACTAGCATCAGAAGAAAGTATACTCTCATGACTCAACCTTTAATTAAAAGCTGAAGGAAAATCAGGATATTCACATCACAAAGGAAACTAATGACTTAAGAACTCGGACTTTGATGAACTTCTCACTAGTCACCACTGAACAGTATTGGAAGAGAGACACTTTCCCACTTAGCCAATTTTGTATGAAAAGGATAATTTTGTGACATGATGTGAGGACTATTTTAAAATCCCAAGGCAGGGCAGACAGGAAGTGGACCTCTCCACCTATACATGTGCTTGTGCTCAGCAAGGTCAGCTGACCCTGTTGAAGCCAGCTCATGAGCACAGCAGCACCCTGCATTGCCAGCTTTTCAGATTAGGGATGTAGTGCTTTTACAGTGTTGAGGATAGGTGACTTAATGTCACAAGACATTAACTCAGAGGTAAGTTCACTCAAGTCACTTCAGCTTAAATAAAGCTCCTGCTGTGTTTCAGAATGAAGAGTGGATGCCGTTTCATGGATCAACAAGACTGTCCAAGTAAAGTTACGACCTGGGTCCTGACTTAGCTCTTGGTCTTGGATTATGGTTGATCTTAGGACTTCATCCAAACATCCAAGCTATTCTGTGCCTCAAAAGGGAATCTTAAGGCTGCATATGATGAAACTTACTTGTGTTCTCAGGACTAGAGAGCTACAGACATCAAGATACATGAAATTACATTTCAAAACAAAAAAACTCCAAAAAACCCAATCAAGTGTTTAACAGCAAAAATGTTTATAAGAGCCTTCATGTCTTTGTTCTAGGAAAATAGTAAATTATTAGCAAATAGAGCACTTGATTCACTTGCAAGAAATAAGCAAAGAAACAAGGCCGGCTTACCTGGTTGAATTCTTAGTGAGATGGTCAGTGTCTGTACAACATTCCATTGCTTCATTTCCACTTGACAGCAGTAGAGGCCACTGTCACTCTCATTGACTTTCTCTATTGTCAGAGACACATTTCCTTGAAGAATCTTCCCCGTTAGGTGGTAGCGATTGTTCCTCTCGTAGTAGACGTAGTATCCATTGGTCAGGATAACAGCATCTTTACATTTATCAGAAAAACATGCCCCTCGGCCCCAACACATGGGTGAGACTCCATGAGATACAGAGTAAGTACATGGCAGTGTCACAGGGTGACCCACCACTCCACGCACTTTTGGGAAAGATTCAATGAAAGCTGTAGTGAAGAAGGGGAAACAGAGAATAAGTTCTCAATGGTTTCGTACAATTTTATTATTATGTCTGCATTTGTTTTTCGTTTTTCCTTTTTGTGTCAAGTGAGGATTAAACATGGGGCATGATGCATTGGAGACATGCACTCTATCATTTCTTCCCCCCTCTCTCTTTTTCTCTCTCTCTCCTATTTTTGGTTGTTGTTGCTAGTTTTCTTTTCTTTCATTTTGCTGTTTTGAGTCAGAGCTCACTGTGTAGCTCTCGCAGGCTTAGAACCCACTTATAAATTAGATATCCTGAAACTCTTAGAGCTCTTCCTGCATCTACCTTCTGGGGTTTGGAGCTAAAGTTCCCACTATACTTGACCTGTTGGTTTGTTTTTATTCAGGGTCTTGCTCTATAGCCTGAGCTTGCTTGCACTTGAGATGGAATTACAAACATGCACCACTGAGACCAGCGCTAATCTAATTCTTTTTTAAGGTTCTTTCGAGACAGGGTTTCTCTGTATTGCTTTGGAGGTTGTCCTGGAACTCTCTCTCTGTAGACCAGGCTGGCCTCAGATTCACAGAGATCTGCCTGCCTCTGCCTCCCTAGTGCCTGGATTTAATTTTTATAAGTTATTTATTTTAATTTTATAGATTAGATTATGATGACTTCATTTCCCCCTTTCCTATCCACCCCTGAAGCTCTCACATTGCAGTCCTCTTTGCTCTCTTTAAAATTCATGGCCTCTCTTTTCATTAATTGTCTTACATGTACGTATGTAAAAACATATACATATGTATATAACACACACACACATACACACACACATGTATGTGTATTCTGAAATACATAAATACAACCTTCTCCATCTTGATGTTACTGTTATCTATAAACGTGTTCAGAGCTGACCATTTGGTATCAGAATACCAATCGACGAGCTCTTTCCTGGGCAAGACTAGTGCTGCTCTTAGCTAACTGGGAACAGGGGAACTCAAACAGCACTTCAAGGTTAAGGTTTTAAATGTACACCTGCTGTCCTGGAAGCTGTGTGTGTTGATAGGTGTCTGCAAACCCAGAACATGGGAGGTGTAAGCAGGAAAGCCAGAAGTTCAAAGCCAGTCTTGGTTGACTAGGGAATTCAAGACCAACCTGGGTTCAAGAGATCCTGCCTTAAAAAACCTCTGTCCTTCTCCTTCCTGTTGTTCTAAGTGGAATCATCAACTCCTTACATTTCTCTCCTCTACAAATAACAGCATTATTGGCTCAAAGGCAGAAGTTTTATTCTTCAGCATCAATTTTCAGAAAGAATTTTAGAACACTACAAGCAGGAACGAGGTTTCAGGATCAGTCCCTTAAGAAGTAAAATCCAAGCAGGGATCCCTTGTTATAAGTGGATGACATCCCAGAAACTGGGAACCAATTACACACGAAGGTCACAGGATTGGAGATTATTCAGCCCAGAACTAAATTATGCAATTCCTAAAACTAAAGCAAAAATTTAAATATATGACTTTTTGGATGGTGGAAGAAAACCACTGTCAATTGCCTGCATGGTGGCCTTTGAAGAAACTCTGAGGGCTGAGGATGGAGCTCAGTGATACAGTGATTGCCTAGCCCATGCCAGACCCCAGATGGATCCCAGCACAGGAACAAGCCAACCAACCAGCCAACTAGCTAACCAACCAGCCAACCAATTAGCCAACCAACCAGCCAACCAACCAGCCATCCAGCTAACCAACCAAGAACATACAACAATGAACTATGAGATTCACTAACTAACTTATCACCTATATGCAGACCTAAGCTATGAGTTTGGGATATGACCTGAGAAAGCACAGTCCTTGTTGTATAAAAAACGAGTGTATATTTCACACTGGGACACAGATCACTTGATTTTTTTTTAATTTAATACCTTTGCAAGATCATAAATATACGACATGGTATTATAGTGAAATTATAGAAATGTGATAGGAAATAACTTCATCCCATACTCCTCTACATAATCACCCCTCACTAGTCGACCACATGCATGCACATGTACGCACCCCTTCCAATCTATCACACGCATGCACGTGTACTCACTCCTCACATACTTTTGCGGTTTTCTTTTTTGGCCATCAATTTTGAAACACACACAAGTAAATAATTTCTTCAGAGGCCCAATTTTACCCTGGTTCTCTTCTCTTACACAATTCATAATAAACAAATACCAAGGAATGTATTCTTTCTATGTCATATCCAACCTCAGCAATACCCTCTACTCACTTACCTGGGAGAAGCAGTATGAGGCCTGAAATGAAGACTTGAAGATGCATCATGGTGTTGACCTGGAGGCACAAAGAAGATATCCTAATTGGCTGTGGCACTCAGCACATGGTATCTGGTTGTGTCCTAATTCTCGGAAGGCATTTACCTTTGATACCTGATGATGCGAATCATGCGGGCCTGTAAAATCCACCTTCAAAGGTTTCTCCCAGGGTGTTGTAAGCTCCCAGTGGTGGAGGGCTGTATGCCCAAACACCCTTTTCATTCCTAATCCATCCCCACATATAACCATCAATTCTAGTCTTGGCACAAATAAGGCAGCAAACAGAGAGAAAACATGTTACTTAAAGACACCACCTAAATAAATAGGGATTAATCCAAAAGTACCAGACTATTTTCAACAGCTTTCTTCTTATTTCTCAGGTTAACTTTGCTTGAGAAGGTTTTACCAGATCATCTATAAGCCAGGCAATGGTGGCCTACGCCTTTAATCCCAACACTGAGAAAGCAGTGGGAAATAGATCTTTGTGAGTTCAAGGCTAGCCTGGTCTGGTCTATAGAGTGAGTTTCAGGACAGCCAAGGCTATACAAAAACAAAAAAATCACTTTCTCAAAAACCAAAATAAATAGGTAGCTCATCTATGAAAGTCCATTATTTCATTTAAATAAAGATCCATCTTCCAAGAATCCAAAGAACTCTATTGGATGCTAAGTTGTCCTAATGTCTAGAGACTCACTCCCCATTGTCCTAATGTCCCACATATAACCTCATATCATGCCGTATGTCATTCCATATGGCACAGGAACGCCAAGGAGAACTATCCTGATTGCTTCCCTCCAGCATGAGTCTGCAGAAGACTGTACTCACCAGTTAGGTAGGAGAGCCCCAACTTCCTGTTACAGTCTCTCCTTCTAGTCTCTGCTGCTGATAGACTTCCAGAGCTGCCCATGGATAGAGATGAGACTCTCCCAGAGTTCCATCCTTATCTCTGGGCCACACACATTTTTCACCTGTTCTGTGTGAAATCTGAGTCTCTCCAGTTCTCCAATCCACCTACTAGATAGCATCTACTCACTGATACAAACAGACTGTTGGAGAACATAAGTGAGTGGGAACATTGCTAATGTGCCCTGGGCTGTTTCCCAAGTGTAGCAAAGATCTTCACTTGAGGTGTGACTCTAGGCCCAGGGACCAAGCTGCTTTTGAGATGGCTGCAGAGTGAAGGGACTTTAACACCTGGAGCAACCCTCTCACTTTACATGTGAATAAGCTGCACTCCAGGAAGAAGACTAAACTGTGGGAACCAGTAGTCCCTGGAGCAAGAGTAAGAGCAGAATGGATGCCATTCTACTTACATCTTTCTAATAAATGTTTCCTAGAAGTCCATGCTCAGAATGGAATAGATGAAAGAACACATCCAGCCCACAGTGTCTGTTTCCCAAAATTTAAGAGAGCCAGGGGTGGTGAGGCACACCTTTAATCCCATCACTGGGGAGCACAAATAAGCAGATCTCTGTGCTTTATGGCAGCATGGTCTACAGAGAAAGTTATAGGCCAGTCAAGGCTTTGTGGTGAGATGAGACCTTTAAAACGCTGAAGTCAAGCTTCTGCACACCCAGGTGCACCTTTCAGTTGTTACTGAATTGTCCTTTGAGGCTCCTAGAGTGTGGGAGTTATGTAACACAAGGAACAGTATGATTACTTTCCCATCTGGCAACTGGAGGATGCTATGTTTGTTCATAGCAGCATTACTTGTAATAGCTAGAACATGGAAGCAACCTAGATGCCCCTCAGCTGAAGAATGAACAGATAAAATGTGGTACATTTACACAATGGAGTACTACTCAGCAGAAAAAACGAACAATGGAATCTCGAAATTCGCAGGAAAATGGATAGAACTAGAAGAAACCATCCTGAGTGAGGTAACCCAGTCACAAAAAGACAAAAATGTTATGTACTCACTTATTTATGGATTTTAGACATAAAGC